TTTAGCCAATCACATTTTTTTGAGTTGTCATCCTCATATTTCATTTTTAGTCAGAATAATCCTTCTTCTAATAAAAAAAATAAAAACTTGTCATCCTCAGATTTAGACAATCACATATTTTTGAATGTTGGGTTTATACCTATTAAATGTAATGATTACATAAGTTTGTTTAGAAGAAGTATTTTCGTTAATTTAAAATAATTTTATAATTTTTGTTCGTGCGTGTGTGTTTGAACATGGGTGATGTGTGATATTTTTAATTTACAGGACAAGGTTAAGGACAGTCTTGCATCTTGCGGCCTGAGCAAGGGACGCATGTGTGATAACTACAAAGTGATGTATGCAAAGAATGAGAGAGTAACACTCGACGTATGTGTATGTTAAAAATTGTCATTTGTGATTGAGAATATCCCTCTTATGTCATAGGAAGCATTTATTGGAGAGGCTAAAACCATTGTGGATGTCAATTATGAAAAGTTTCTATATGTGAGTGTGGAGTCTAATGCATATAGAACTCGTTTAGATGATTTTTTTTAAGTGTTTTCATTCTATATTAGTGTTTGAATGTCAATTTTAAAAAACAAAAGTCATAAAAAGGTATAAGCCACAAAAAGAAGTCAAAACATTGCATTTTTTAAAAAGCTAAAATTTCGGACTTCTAAGCCCTAATCGCAATCAATTTCATCACTATCACCATTAAATTTTCTTGTTGCTGTCGTGGCCCTTATCCTGAGTTTTATTTCCATAATTTATTTTCACATGTAAATTTTAATAGGGGAGGTTATATTTATTTTTTTTACTACCAAATCTTTAACCGTTGATTTTTTGTCAATTTAACGGTTATAATTTATTGAAAATCAATAATTAATTAATAAGTGTGACCCAATAAATTATAACCGTTAGATTGACGAAAATTAACGGTTAAGATTTAATAATAAAAGGTGATAAGAAAAAAAATAGTAAGTATAATATCTCCCATTTTAATAATTTTATAAATAAAAGTGATTTTAAATTTTAACATCTAAATATTTTTAGTTAAAAGTGCTTTTTTAAGTCAATTCAACTCACATATTGGGTTGAGACTTGAGAAAATCCCTTTGTGTGAAATTCACATAAAGGTTTTTGATAAAATAGAATTTTCATGATTTTGGATGTATTATTATCACCCAATTAGTGAGTAATTTACAAAACCTAACTTGCTAATCTCTGTGAAATAATTTTCTTTTAATTTAATTTGTAAGCCTTTCTTTCGGCCTCGCATTTAGTTTTTTGGGTCAAAATACAGGTTACCTAAAAACGAGTCCATTTGAAGAGTTTGGGCTAATCATTCGCAGGTCCCTAAGAGAGGTTTATAACGTTGACCGGGCCAATTCTTATCCAAGTCCAATCGTTCAGATTTCAATAATTATAAATTTTGGCATGATCAAAATTCAAAATTAAAAAAAAAAAAAACGAAAGGAGAAGTTTGAAATATGGAAAAGTATTTGTCCTTTTAAATGATATAATTTGTGTCATTTCACTTTCACAAAGAGGTGAGACCTACACATTTATTTATTTTTTATCCTATCTCTCCTATTATCTATCTTTTTTCTCTCATTTGAAATGACACAATTTTACATCTTTTAAAATGACACATATTTTTTCGTTGAAATATTTACAAAACAGATTACTAAGACAAATTGATCTCCTTCAAAATCTAACTATTAAATCGAGGTAGGATCCGTTGACATCAGTATCAAATTTGACACCTTATGTAAGAGCCGTTAGAACAAAAAAAATCAACGACTCTGATTTGTAAGCATGTGACACCATTGATCTTTTTTGATTTAATGACTCTCGAAAGGTGTTAAACCTTAAATTTGACACAAGTGTGGAAGGGTACTACCTCATTTTTATTAAGGGTAGACAAGGAGCGGATAATATCATTGTGGCTCAGGAAATCATCTATTCCATGAATAAAAAGAGAGGAGGTAAGGGTTGGATGAATGTCAAAGTTGATTTAGAAAAGGCTTACGAGAAGATCTCTTGGGAGTTTCTGAAAGACACGCTTGTGGATGTTGGTTTTCCTGAGAATATTATTTCTCTGATCATGTGTTGTGTCTCATCATGTACAATGAATTTGTTATGGAATGGATCAACTACGACAGAATTTTCTCCTAATCAAGGTCTTCGTCAGGGAGATCCTTTGTCTCCTTATCTTTTCATCCTTTGCATGGAAAGACTTGCTCATTTGATTAATGTAGCAGTTCAGGAGGACGTTTGGAAGCCTATCAGATTGAATAGAAGGGGACCACTGCTTTCCCATCTATTTTTTGCAGATGATCTTCTGCTCTTTACAGAAGCCATAGAAGGGCAAGCTGTTATTATTAATAAGATTCTTGATTGTTTTTGCAGGTGCTCTGGTGAGAAGGTTAGCAAGGAAAAAACAAAAGTCTTCTTCTCCAGAAACGTTAATCATACCCGAGTGCAGAATCTAAGCCAGTTGATGGGCTACTCTCCTACAAATGACTTGGGTAAATACTTGGGTATTCCTCTTCATCATAGTCGTGTTACAAAGAGTACGTTTGGCTATATCTTAAATCGGATGCAAGCTCGTTTAAATGCCTGGAATCAACGTACTCTTTCATTGGCAGGAAGATCAACTTTGGCTAGGTCAGTTTTTACTGCAATTCCTCAATATCCTATGCAAACTTGTATTATTCCTAGTGGTACGTGTGATCGTATTGAGAGTGTAACTAGGAATTTCATTTGGGGATCAACTTCTGAACGAAGGAAAGCTCACTTGGTTTCTTGGGAGACGATCTGTTTGCCGAAGAATGTAGGGGGACACTTGGTTTTCGTAAAATTAAAGAGAATAATATGGCTTTTATCATGAAGCTAGGTCACTGTATCATGATTGATCGTAATTTGTTATGGGTTCGGGTCCTTCGTAGCAAGTATAAGGTGGAGGAGAGGCTCATTCCAAGTATCTCGGCTTCAGCAAATGATTCTGGTTTATGGAAGGCTATTGTTAAGTATTGGCCTCAAACTCTAGAGAATTCTCGTATCATTTTAGGGGATGGGGTTCATACGTCTTTTTGGATGGATTCGTGGGTGCCAGGATGTCCTCAACTTGTTTTTCTGGCCGTTCAACCTATTCCTCCTATTATGATTCATTGGTCTACGTCTCAATTTGTAACTTGTTATGGTAATTGAGACTGGCCTTTATTCCAGCACCTTCTTCCTACTTCAGTATTAGACAAGATTCGTAGTGTGCTCCTTCCTACAGTGGATCCTTATCCGGACCGTGTTATTTGGGCAGGTAGCCAAGATGGGGTTTTTTCAGTGAAATCAGCTTATAACTATCTCATGGGTACCTTGCATTATCATCAAGATAGGACTTGGAAGGTAATTTGGGCTTGGCCTGGTCTTGAACGTATTAGACAATTCTTATGGCTTCTCTATAGAGGTTCTCTTTTAACTAATGTTCGTAGAGTGCATCGTCACATGGCTACAGATGCAGCGTGTCTGAGATGTCATTATAATCTTGAGGATAGTTTACATGCCATTAGAGATTGTCCTGGTGCCAGGGAATTATAGGAGCATTGGGTTCCTTCTAATAACCGTAGTGACTTTTTCTCCATGGATCTTCACCTATGGATTCAGACAAATCTAGGATTAAAAGGTCCGTTTCAAACTGATCGAACTTGGCCTTTGTATTTTGGAATGATAGCTTGGTGTTTGTGGGGGGAAAGAAATAAGACGATCTTTGATCAAACTAGCACCTCGAAGTATGGTCTCATTAGGCGCATTACCTACACTTGTGGTAATATTCAATTGGCTAATGAAACCTTATTAAGATTGGTCATCAGGAGTTTAGAAGAGAGGAATGTCTTATTCACTGGAATTTTCTCTCCGAGGGTTATGTTAAACTTAATGTGGATGGTTCCAGCATAGACAGTGGGCAAAGGACTACATGTGGTGGAGTCATAAGGGATGCTGCTGGGAACTGGTTAACTGGTTTTACAAAATTCCTTGGGAGTGGTACTTCTACTTCAGCGGAAATTTGAGGGTTCTTGATAGGTATGGATCTGGCTTGGCATAAGGGATTTAGGAGAGTCTTTGTGGAGGGTGACTCCAAGGTGGCTTTGGAATTTATAAGAAAAAGGTGTGACGTAAGTCATCCTCTTTTTGCTTTAATCATCCGAGCTCGTAGCATGCTTCAAAGAGACTGTATTATTCAGCTTAGTCATACTTATAGAGAAGGCAATTTTGTTGTTGATTGGCTCGCTACTCATGCACCTCATCAGGATGGACAGCTGATTGTGCTGGATGTCCCTCCAACGGCTTGTTTGGAATTGCTTCGTAATGACTTGAGGGGAGTTAGTCTCCCGAGATTGTGCCCAGTATAGGGTTTTTTTGTATGTTGCTTTAATTTTCATTGTATTTCCAAAAAAAGGGTACTACCTCATTAAATCTAATATGATAGTTAACTTGTTTGTTATGTCTGTAAATATCATTTTTGCAAAAAAAAAAAAAAAATTACTCCCTGCAATCTTTTTGTTAGTGAGGATGAAACTGGAGAGAATTTATAGTGGTCTGGGATCACCATTTTTTAGGTGGTCCTTTAGTATAAATAGGAGGGTAAAATTGAAAAAAAAGAAAAATAGCAGGGATAAAAAGAGAAAAAAAAAATTAGTGTTGTAAGAGGAGAACCAATTCCTTAGATGGTACTGAAGCATAAAAAATATTTCCATGAAACTGATACTAAACAAGTACAAAAGGACCAAAGCCATATCTTGTTCTAGTTAATCAAAATTAAAAAGACATGGTTACACAACTATGCATTATAATCCAAAGACACTATTAAGGGACAAACAAAAACATTATGTGTATTTGTACATCAAATTATGCACAAGGCAGCTGAGTGATTGAGAGAGTAAGCAGCAATTGATTTTTTGGTTTTGTCGATCACATCCGCATAGTGATACAATTATTCCGTGCTTGCCTTCTCATTCATCCTCTTCCACTTTTGAACAAAAAAATAAAAATAAAAAATCCCAGTTCAGTTACTAGCTAATAATGATTGATTAAAAACAAAAAAAGTGGAAGAAGAAGAAAATACTTACTCTCTTCCTCCACTCAGTTTCAGTTCGGTCACCGCCGAATAAAGTTTCCTCCTTTTTCATTAACTGTTACAATTCAACTAAAATTCTGACTAAGGATTCTCTCCTCCGATTTGAGGGTCAGGATCTCACTCTAATTAGACTCACTCGACAGCTGAAACCAACCACCGCAAATTCGATTATAACCTCCTTTATTCTGGTCCATCACTTCCATTCAAATTCCAAAGGTATTATGCAATTTAAATCATGGGTATTCCTAAATGTTCAGTTCTAACTTGTGGGTCGTTGGCAAAAAACTATCTTTTTCCTGTCACTATTCACTTTTTGTGTTCGTGGGCTCTGACTTTGAAAAGGGTATATGTGAAATCCGGGCTAGAGGAAACTTTTTGAGGAAAATATGTTCAATTGCTGTGTTAACTGACATACTGAGAACTGGAAATGAAATTCTGAGTTCGGGATTTTTTGTTTGTGAAGGTTTTTGAGACAATGCCAAATTCTTGTAAAAGGTCTCAATGACTTGAATGGGGTTCTTGTTCTGTTAAGTGCTACATTGATTATTCTTTTTATGCTTAATGTCGGCTAGTAGAGTCTGCATTTTGAAGTAACATGAGGAGTTTAAAATTATATAGAAATTATTATTTGATTTTTTTATTGTTTTCAGTTTTTACAAACCTGGTGTGCTTTAATTTCTGCTAGAGTTGTAGTTTGGTTTTCTGTCTTGTGAATCTAAAATTAATCTAACTCAAGTAAGGGAAGCAATGTTTGTGAAGGTGAATTTACTAAATAACCATCATATAGAAACTTTCCCCCTCTTTCTGTTTATATGGCAACTAAGTTTTTAATTGTTCTATCAACTGCAGCGCCTGGTGTATGTGTCCGCCAGAATGTAAAGGATTTAGATTTGTGGAGGGGGCTGTCATGCTGAATGCTGCTGCCAACCAGTGGAGTAGGGATGAATTCTGCAATGGATGATATGAATTTGATTCAGCAAGCCCAGAGGCATCACTTGGTTGTAAGGGAGATTGGTGAAGAGATTGATTTAGAAATTGGACCTGGGGATGATGATCCTTCATTTGGTAATGCTACTCTAATTGGTGGCCCACCGCGGGAATCTTCTACGGAAGAGCACGGGGAGAGCAAGCAGATGGGGATGGTTTCTCAGCTTCCGAATGATGCTCAAGATATGTCAAAGACCCAACCAGTGAAAAGGAAGAAGAAGGTTGTTAAAAGATGGAGAGAGGAATGGGCAGACACCTATAAATGGGCTTATGTTGATGTGAAAGATGGAACAGCAAGGATTTTTTGCTCTGTTTGCAGGGAGTATGGTAGGAAACACAGAAGAAATCCATATGGGAATGAAGGCAGTCGTAATATGCAGATGAGTGCCCTAGAAGAACACAATAATAGTTTGCTTCACAAAGAGGCTCTTCGTCTCCAAATGGCCTCCAAGGATAAAATTATCATCAACAAGCCTGTTTATGTAAAAGGTTGGCCATCTCACATGCTATAATCACTGACATCTGCAGATAATATTTTGTTTCGTTGAAAAAATGTTGATGGTCTTGTTGTGTGTTTTCTAATATTTGAATCAATTGCTGATATAAGTCATTGAAACTATGCTCTTCCCAGATCATTTTAAACAATAAATATAAGTGCATAACAAATATATTTGTTAGAAAGGCCTAAAAGGTGCATTTTATCAATTATATAGGATCCTAGGAATATGCTTTGCAGCCGTCTTCTACTGATCCCTTTGAGTTATATGTAGTACTAACATCATGTTTGGTAAATCTGAATAAAATTGTGGAGCCATACTGCTTCTTTCAGAAATTCAATTATTTTAGTGATTTGAGAGTGTCCTGTGCCATACAACCATTTTTTATTGTTCCTTGATCCCTCCCCTCGCCTGGACAGAAACCTTGTAATCATGCCACTTAGTTGACCTTACACGTATGCACTTCCCTATGCAGTACATGAAAACTTCAATGGCCACTTTGCAAAATTTAGTTGATCATCACACTTTATAATTTTTTGGTTTCTGCTATTGTCCTGAATAATATTGATTTTCCATCTTGTTTAAAATCAATGTAATGTTTCTTAAGCTTTGCCTTAACATGTCAGTTTCAGACAATATTTTAGTTCGTTCTTCTTTTTTGTGTATAGAACTTGATATTTATAATTTAGATAACCTATTTCTAGGATATGTTCATGTTGGTTATTTACCTGCTTAATAATCGGGTGGAAATTATAAGTCCTCTCCAGTCTTATAAAAAATATTTTTCTTTTCAGTATTGTCTGACACTTCTGTAATTGAAGCTCTTGTGTCAAAAACAGCTGGATCAATTCTTGAAGCTACACTAAAAAGGGATCCTCATGAGGCTGAATTCATACAGGCAGTTCAGGAAGCAGTTCATGCTCTTGAGAGAGTCATAGCAAAAAATTCCCAGTGAGTTTTATGCAAATGAAGTTATATTTATATATTTATGTATTTACTCTACCAATGACAATGCTAATGCTTAAATATTGGATGTGTCTCATTACTATTCATATGTTTCACTTTTCAGTTATGTTAACATCATGGAGCGCTTGGTGGAACCTGAGCGAATGATTGTTTTCCGAGTTCCATGGGTGGACGATAAGGGTGAGATACATGTTAATCGGGGTTTCCGGGTACAGTTTAACCAGTCAATGGGTCCATGTAGGGGAGGTATTCGTTTTCATCCATCAATGAATTTAAGTATAGCCAAGTTCCTTGGTTTTGAACAGGTATTGTGAGGTTTTTGGTATTTAATGCAAGACATTTTCTCCTACAGCTAATAACTCTGACTTATAAGCCTATATTTTTGTCTATTTACCATCTGAATACCTGGTGCATGAAAATTGACTTAGAAGCCTATAATCTATTCATCAACCACAATAATGTGCAGAATGTGAGAAGTAGTCTTCCTTTTTAATGATATTTTATTTTTTAAAAGAAGAGGATAAACACAAACATGTGTGAGGATAATATCCAAAGCGCTTGTGTGGTCACACATACACATGCATATTAGAAAAGAAAAGAAAACCTACTAGCAAAAAATATGAATGATATCAGAAGGAAAATATAGGGGGAGAGAGAGAGATAATTAGTGCCAGAGGGTATATAGTGGAAGAGAATTTTTTTTTTTTTTTGGGGGGGGAGGGGATGGAGGTTTGCAGTCAGAGTTCTTGCAAATATTCTCTTACCGGGCTTTCAAGATACTTATATATTTTAGAACAGATACCTACATAAGACACATGTTTGTTTACCTACATGTATTTTGAAGACTGCTGGGGCATTTATTGATTTGATGTGTTCTCTTTTTGCATGTTTCCCTCCCTTCTTCCATCCTTATTAGGATTCCATGTCCTTTGGTTTTGTATATTTCCTTCACTTTCATCATTACTTTTTTTTGGTCAAATGAAGGAAGAGCAAAGAAGTACTAATATAGTTTTTTTTTTTAACGTATCATACCTTGGGTGGGAATCTGTGATATCTACCTAAATACATGGATATCTAGTATGCTTATGCTTGTGAGATGACCGGTGTCCACATACGTGAGCACGCATGCACATGCACTCACATATGTAGTCTTCAATTTTATTTAATGATAATGTATATTTAAGGCCTTATTTATTTATTTTTTTAAAATATACTGAGATTCAAGTCTCAAGAAGGGATAAGAACCTAGATTGCAAGCTACATTTCTGTATTGAACCACTTATATCAAACACTTCCTTCTCTGCAGACTTTAAAGAACGCCTTATCCCCTTACAAATTAGGAGGAGCAGCCGGTGGAAGTGATTTTGATCCTAAAGGAAAAAGTGATAATGAGGTGAACTTTCAACTTATTTTATTTATCTCTACTCAAATACAATTTCTAAGTGTTACTTTGATAAGCTGGTAGATCATGAGATTTTGCCAAAGTTTCATGAGTGAGCTGTATCGCTATTTGGGTCCTGACAAGGTAACTAAAAGTATATCCATTTTGTGTATCTTTTAACCTACATACAGTCAGAGCCTGTTTTACATCTTATTATTCTTGGAATGGATGTTTATTTAGGACCTTCCCTCAGAGGAAATGGGTGTTGGTACGCGAGAAATGGGGTATCTTTTTGGACAATATAGACGTCTAGCTGGTCATTTTCAGGTAATGTAAACATTCTTTTAAGTCATAATTAACTATTTGGTGTCACATTCTACCTTTTTCTATGTGTTTTCCCCTTTATTTTTATATATCAGACTTGGAGATTACTGTCTTTATGCAGGCGTGATATCCTATCTCCACCCCCTCCCCCCCCAACCGACAAATTTTCTGTTTCATCTTTTTTCTCTAATAAAATTTTTATTGATAAAAGAGTACTCTTCTTATTCATTTTGCTTTGAGAATCGAAAATACACTTATGTTAAAGTTGGTCTAGATGGCTTTGTCGACCATTTGACGGCTCTTTTGGTCGCCAAAGGTTACACCTAAATCTTTGGCCTTTGTTCGAAAATTAGAGTGACACTTTCTTTGCGGTTGCTAAAATGGCCTTTGTTCGGCTCCTCCTAGTCTTGGCCATTGTTCATCATTGGCCTCCTATCAATTAGACATTAGGAATGAATTTCTCCATGGTGATTTGGGGAGGAAGTTTGCATGGAACAGCCGCCTGACTTTGCTGCTTAAGGGGAACCTAGGTTGGTGTAAAAGCTCTGCATATCATTGTATAGCCTGAAAGAATCACCTTGGACCTGGTTTTGCCATTTCAGTGTAGTTTGTTCATGATTTCGGCATGACTCTTAGTGAAGCCTTTAGTTATTTGGCTGATTGCTCTTTTTTTTTTAAGTAACTGATTGCTTTACCATGTACAAATGAATGTGTATATTTTTGCAAAATATACATCATATATAGTGTAGTATGTGACATGTCTAATCAGTTCAGGAACATGAAATTTTGAGATACTTATTATATTGGCATTCATGGCAGAAAGGAAAACTAAGTAACTTCTGTGTTTTTTTTTTTATTATATGTATGCCTTACTTATGCAGGGGAGTTTTACAGGACCAAGGATATTTTGGTCGGGCTCCAGTCTTCGACCTGAAGCTACTGGCTATGGCCTGGTAATTTAACTTTTAATTCTTACACTCTGTGGATGTAGTGTGGTAGGTGAAAATGAGTGACTATGTATGAAATGAGGCCCATGGTAACCTTTCATTTTTTAATTATTTATTATTTTGGAATTTCTCAACAAAATATCCTTTTGTGGTAGGTCCTTTCAGTTTCCCGTGCATGGCTTTTTCTCTTTATTAGCAACTTATAAGGGTTGTTGCCTAATATCATATCTGCCAACTAATTTTTAAAGACAGAGAACATAGCATGCTTGTCCGTTATTGACCTAGAATATCATCATAAAAAGTTTTCAATGCATGTCTTGTTTCAAGTTCTTATATTTAACAATGTTGTCATGCATCTGCAGGTTTTTTTTGCCCAGCTCATACTTGCTGACATGAATAAAGAACTCAAAGGATTAAGGTTCCTCTTTTAATTTTGGCAGTTTTATAAGGATTGTTGCTACTAACTCATTCATTATTGGTGCTACCTTTTAACCCTCTATTACTATTAGGTATTCTTATTATGGTGTAAAAACTATCATTTTCATTATTAATAGTTTTTCTAGAGTTTAAAATTCCACTGATAATAGAACCTAGGAAGCTCCCATTTGCATATATTTTAATAATTTTGTTAATTTTTTAGCTGCTATTTAAACCAATTGTGTAATGTGAAATTTGTTGCTTATTAGATTTATTTAACGTATATACGATTCTGGAATTCTTCTAATTTATACTTTTTCTGTAGATGTGTTGTGAGTGGTTCTGGAAAGATTGCAATGCATGTTTTAGAGAAGCTTATTGCTTATGGTGCTCTTCCCATCTCAGTATCAGGTAATTTTGGTTATGTGTGAACATACCGAATCTACTGCATTTGCTATGGCGCTGTTGCATTCTTTTAAAAGGGAAACCTGGTGCTATAATATGCACATTCTTTTATTGTAAAAAAATGGAAACCTGTCTGACCACCAAGCATGTGAATCAATTGGTAAGGGGTTGTTCCAGCTTAACTGGTGGTCTCAAGTTAGAGTCTCTGGGACCGCAGCTGTGTTAAAAACTTGGTAAGTAGAGCTTTGCCGCCTACACAGCTCGAATCGGATTAGTCGAGTATTCAATGAACCGATGGATAATCAACATCAACATCAACACACCTTTATCCCAAATTAATTGAGGTCGGTGGATAATATTAAAAAAAAATAGAAACCTGTCTTTCATTATGGCATGTCAGATGTCATGTTTGATGTTCATCATCATTAAGAGTAGCGATAATTAGAAGTAGTATTCTCATAACATAATTGTTGGGATTGAATTCCTTAATATAGCCTGGTCTTTTGAAAGCATATGCAATTTTTTGACAAAAGCTTTTCTCAGATTCAAGAGGTTATTTGGTTGATGAAGATGGATTCGACTACATGAAAATATCATTTTTGAGAGACATCAAAGCTCAACAAAGAAGTTTGAGGTTTGTATCACTACTGTCATCTTCATTATTTTTAACATGGGCAATTTTATCTAGTTTTGTGGTCCTTGTTCATTAAATTGGCATGTGTAGAGACTATTCAAAGACCTATGCTCGGGCAAAATATTATGACGAAGCAAAACCCTGGAATGAAAGGTGTGATCTTGCATTTGCTTGTGCTTCTCAGAATGAAATTGATCAATCTGACGCCATTAATTTGGTTAATTCAGGTTGTCGCATACTAGTAGAAGGTAGTTGTTTCTACATCATACAATGCGTTAGGCTATATTTTGCTCTTTTTTCTCAAATACACTAACGGCCATTACTTTATATTATTTGTATCCAAGGTTCGAACATGCCCTGTACACCTGAGGCAGTTGATGTTCTGAAGAAAGCTTGTGTTCTCATTGCTCCTGCTATGGCTGCTGGTGCTGGAGGGGTGTGACATTTACTTTAGTTATACTATTTATAGACATGCAGATTCCGATCTTAAACAAAACTGCTTTAACTGTGATGTTTGTGAGGGTGTACAACTTACCACCTTAATTTTTCATAATGCTACGAGGAAATTCAGAATTATGATAAATGTGATGTTATATAACCACCTTAAGTTAGATTTTTTATGCAGACTTAGTTCTGTATTATATTTTGATATTCTATTTAGGCTTCATTTGACTTGAGGATGCAGAGAAATGGGAAAGGAGATGGAATATATTTTCTGAAGAAGTCTGGTTCTTTGTTTTTAGAAATTTTATTTTTTTGTCCTTGGCTTCAATTTTTGCCCAAACTTCAGGCATAGTTTCAATTGTTTAAATAAACGCTTCCCTGATTTAGTTGACCTTAAATTTTAGTATAGTGCTTGTTAAACTGGTAGTAATAACTGATACCCACCACCATTATCCTGAAGCTTTCATTTGATGATGTAATTGACTAGGAGTTGTACTCCATTGGGTTAGCAATGTAAAGCAGTTTATTGATGCTTGTATGGTGTGACCCCCAAGTGGATTGTTTTTGTACGCACTTTCATATACAACTTAAGTAAACTATTAGATTCTACAGTCAAGCTGTGCTTGATTAGGCTTGTTCGCACATTTTTCATTTCACAATATAAAACTTCAAATTGAAACTATGATAATAAGCTTATGTCAGATTGATTAGCATCGTTTAACTGATCTTTTGTTCAGATTATTACAAAGTCTACATCAACATGTTGACATGATATTTGGTGGTACCTACTCCTAATCATGTGTTCTCCTTCCTTGCAGGTTGTGGCTGGAGAACTTGAATTAAATCATGAATGCAGTTTGATGCACTGGTCACCAGAGGACTTCGAATCTAAATTGCAGGTAGTTCTTTGGAATTTGTTCTTAAAAATCACAAGTTTGCCTCTTAAGTCTTAAGAACTTTAAATGATTGCAAGGTTATCAAGTGTCACATTCCTCCTTTACTATAAATCTTTTTCATATGCCAATTGAATAAAACTCATTGTTTCATTGCATTTTGAAATAAAACAGTAATGTACAGTTTCCTGAGTGTAGTTATTTGTGCATAGGAATAATGTATAATTCATATATGCGTGTGCTATTTTTAAATTTGGGTGCTGCCTATTGTTATTACACAGCTGAGTGGTGCATCATGCTCAAGCAAGAATCTTTGTTAGATAAAATTTAACAATTGTCGAAATTGTGAATTATTCTTGTTTAATTATTACTTTTTCTTTCACGCTTGGATGAGCACCAATTGCATACTGTTTTATACAAACTTCTGTCCTCAAATTTTCTATTTTTATTTTACAGGAAGCAATGAAACAGACTTATCAAAGAGCCATCAAAGCTGCAACTGATTTTGGTTATGAAAAAGAAAGTCCCGAGTAAGTGCTTTCTCCTGTAAAACCGATGAAAGCTGCAAAATCTAACTCTGTGCTGTACTTTCCAGAATTAATGCTCTGCTAGTTGACTTCCTAATTGATTAGCTCTTCTCTTTCAATTTGTTTTTTTTTCCCCTTTGAACAAATATATGACCTCCCTCTATAAAAGAGCAGTCCGAATTTCTGAGTATTATTTGAACATATGCTAATTTGGAATAATGTGAATCATGATAAAAATAACAATGAAAACTCATAATATAAGTTTCTATTATAGCTGTGATTCAGCTATATATTTGATTATAAAGATAACTAAATAAGTGACAAGTTAATATTTTACTTAACTGCTACATTTTTGCACCACTCTGTTCTTTGTTTTGTAAATTTCCCCACCTTAATCCTATTCAATTATGCTTGCTTTGTCAGGGCTTTGGTACATGGAGCAGTCATCTCTGCTTTTCTGACCATTGCTCAAGCTATGACAGATCAAGGTTGTGTATAAAAGTTGATCAAAACCTTGAATGCATCTCAATGCTGATATTTTCACAGCGGATGGAAATCCACTTGCACTAAATTTATGAATTGCAAGATAAGGATGAATGTTGATAATGCAGTCTCCCCGTGAAGACATCACACTAATGTGAGAGCATATTCCCTTTGTAAAATATATAATGTAACAATTTAGACATAAAGAGGTTTTAGAAGAAAAATTGCTGTTGGCAGATTTGGCAATGCATGTGATATAGTTTTAGTTGTACAACAGAAAGGTTATCCAGATTATTGCCAGGAGATAGGAGAAATTTTTCTTGGCTCATTCAATCCATCTAGATGCATGTTACAAATTTGGATGTTGAGATTATAAATAAAAGCTTAGCATTGAATGTGCTTATTGTTTAAGAATATTTAACCAAAACCCCATGAATGAGAACTGTTATGTATGTTATAATTTTCTTTGGGAGTCTTGTATATGGGTTTCCAACTTATGGATGTTTGCTCCTACCTGTCCAAGTTCTTGAAGCATAACGTCAAACTCTTTTGCATTGGTCTAAGGGATAAGATATTTTACTTATCTTTTTTTTTTCTTACTTTAATTATCCATCTTCAATATCAATGGATTAGAATCTCACTCTTTTTCTCTACTCTTGAGATTTTGATCCAATGATATTGAAAATGAGTAAGTAAGATAAGCAAGAAAAAGAAAAAAAAAGATAGAATAACCTATGGTTTAAAAGTGTCCCATTTATTTATAGGTGCTTTACCTCCTCCACTTAGAGTAGTGGGATGCTGCGACATAAAAATGTATGATAGGAATTAGATTTTAGATCTATTGGTAGTTAATTTCTAAACTATCTAAATATTTAGGTGGCTTATAAAATATCTTTAAGAAGTATCTAAGGTATTTATAAGCATATATTATAAGCTTATATCTTATAATTTTATTTTACTTTTAAATTTTGTATCAATAGAAGTGAAATATTATCAATATGAAATAAATATTAGTCTTTTATATTTGGGTGCTTGTGCACAACCTTAACCATATAGATATGTTTAATTATCAAATAATGCGGCCAAAGAAAAAAAAAGCTATATATTGAATTGATTCACAAGTTAATGGATTAAATATGTTAAAGTTCTTACCAAAAAAAAAAAAAAAAAATGTTAAAGTTCAAATTCAATTCATTTGAAAAATACAAAAAATGAAATAAATTGTAAGATTTTGTCTTATTCAGTTGTTTAGCCAACAAACGAGGAGACCCAAGCGGCAGAAATTTTTTAACATTTCTTCATTAATAAAATTTTCTCTGCATAATTTTAATTAATAATCCTTTCTTTAAAATCTTGAAAATGCAATATAGCCAATCATAATGGAAATTTCTACAATATTACAGATGCATCTATTTTTTTATATATCCCACCAATCCAAATCAAACACCAAACATCAATGTTGACATGTAATAAAAAAAAGTGGGATCATAAATACATGTGTTAAATTTTGAATGAAAATAATATGTACTGTTGATGTACTGAAAATGAGCTCAATCATAAAGAGTTTTTGGTAGAATTACAGTCTTTGGAGGTCACACATCTCATTTATACTGTTCCAGAGTACAAGAGGATCTTTCGCAGTGAGATTTTAGCTTTATGCCCTTCATGAAGTTGATGCCAAATGAAAATCATTGCCTTCTTTGAGTCTTGCAATGTTGCTTGATTTCCTTCCTTTTTTAGTAGTATCCAAAAACCTTTGGCATCTAAAATAAGTATTGTAGAGGTGGATTCTAGCATCTGGCAGTGGCACCTATGCTAGGTAATTATAGCCTGTGATATCAAGAGCCTCATATTGGTCTTACTTTCTTAGTGTGGCAGTGCTTCGTGCTAGTAACATTATAAAGGAAAGTATAAACAAGAGGAAAAGAAATAAAAAGAGAAATGAAATATTAAATATATCTATAACTATAATGGAAGTAATTTTTTGATTGAAGATGGAATTGAAATTAAAATGGAAATTAAAAAAGGTTGCCTTTTAAGGAATTAATATTTTCTGCAACTCCTTACCCACTATAAAAAGAAGTAATTAAAACTAAACAAATTCTTAATCAAATATATATTTTCTTATAATTAAATCACAATAAATCAAGATCAAGTAACATACTTTTGATGATTATTAATCATTAAGACTTACAAATAAAAGATTCTGATACAAATATTGAATTATAAACTTGACAAATCAATTCAAAACTGCGGACAACATATTTAATTATTTATTGTGAACTAACACACAGCATATTCATAACCACTAATGATATTTTCGTATTACTCATCATATTACTAAAACAGACAAAAATCATTGTATCGTATTACTCATCACCGAAAACTTACAACTCAAGAATTCCTACAAATTTCGTATTACTCATCATATTACTATCACCGGGAACTCCTTTGAAATACTACTAACAAAAATATCAAAATCATTGTATCGTATTACTCATATCACCAGAAATCCACCCCCTTTGAAGACTCCCTTTGAAGACTTACAACTCAAGAATTCCTACAAATTTCTAATTACTCATCATGTTACTCATGGTCAGAAACCCGCTTTGCGTTCCCTAACTCAAGAGAATATACTCTCTTACCCAGCTCGGACACAACATTCTCAATTTCTAGTGCGGCAACTGACAGACTCGTAATATGTGGTGGTGGTGGTGGTGGTGGTGGTGGTGGTGGTTGAGCCGCGACTTCTCTTTTGTCATCGGATCCTCCTTTGTCGTCAGTTGCCGGCCTTTTCAGTTTCTTACACGCCGGTGGCGCCTCTGGCGCCGGTGTTTAAGAATCTTTAACCAAAAACTCATGAATGAAAACTGTTATGTATGTCATAATTTTCTTTGGGAGTCTTGTATATCGGTTTCCAAGTTACGAATGTTTGCTACTACCTGTCCAAGTTCTCGAAGCATCAAACTCTTTTGCATTGATCTCAGGGATAATATATTTTACTTATCTTTTTTTTTTCTTGCCTACTTTATCAATTCATCTTCAATATCAATGGATCAGAATCTCACTCTTTCTCTCTTCTCTTGAGAATTTGATCCAATGATATTGAAATGAGTAAGTAAGATAAGAAAAAAAAAATAGGTAGAATAACTTATGGTTTAAAAGGGTTTCATTTATTTATAGGTGTTTTACCTCCTCAACTGAGAGTAGTGGAATGCTGCGACATAAAAATGTGTGATAGGAATTAGATTTTAGATCGATTGGTAGTTAATTTCTAAACTATCTAAATATTTAGGTGGCTTATAAAATATCTTTAAGAAGTATCTAAGGTATTTATAAGCATATATTATAAGCTTATATCTTATAATTTTATTTTACTTTTAAATTTTGTATCAATAGAAGTGAAATATTATCAATATGAAATAAATATTAGTCTTTTATATTTGGGTGCTTGTGCACAACCTTAACCATATAGATATGTTTAATTATCAAATAATGCGGCCAAAGAAAAAAAAAAAGCTATATATTGAATTGATTCACAAGTTTATGGATTAAATATGTTAAAGTTCAAATTCAATTCATTTGAAAAATACAAAAAATAAAATAATAGTAAGATTTTGTCTTATTCAGTTGTTTAGCACTTTAGCCAACAAACGAGGAGACCCAAGAGGCAGAATTTTTTAACATTTCTTCATTAATAAAATTTTATCTGCATAATTTTAATTAATAATCCTTTATTTAAAATCTTGAAAATGCAATATAGCCAATCATAAGGGAAATTTCTACAATATTACAAATGCACTCATTTTTCTATATATCCAGTAGCTGAGCCAGGATTTAATTTTAGCCGGGGTCAAAAAATTATAGTTATTTATTTAAATTTAGAATATAATATAAAATAAAATTAGTAAAGAAAGTGCAAATTATATATACATATATGAAATTTTCATGTGATTTTTATGCTCATTTTCATGTGATCTTTAATAACATTATTTCATGTGATGTTAATAAAAATTGATTTCATGTGGTCTTTGTGAATAATTTTTTTTATTTTTTATATTTAATTTGATTTGGGCCTACAAACTTTAGTTTGCAACTTGGTAGGCCTTACAAGTCGTATTCGGTTTTCTTAATTTTTTATAATATGACAGGCCATAAATCAAGTATTTAGTAGCCTAATAGATCAGTATAAGTTCCAAATATCTTACATAGGCTTAGGCTATTAAAGTCAAAGTTTGGCTTAACTTGGCTCATTTATACCTCTAGTCGTGACCTGTGAATAACATTAACATAGAGGAACAACAAACTTCATAATTAAAAAGAAACATGAAATAATTAGCGACAAATGTCTAAAACCATTTAAATGACATTGGATCCACATAAATCATTTAATTAGTGTTTAGATATTTTAAAATTTTAAAAATACAAAAAAAGAAGTTGTTAATGGATATGTATAAGAAATTTTCATACTCCATATATATCCATATATCTTCATTGATTTTTCTCTTTAACGGTTTCCACTAGTTAATAACCAAAATTCACATTCTTGTTGTGAAATAAAATACAAATAACATCAATAAACAATTCAATTTCATTACCAATAGCAACTGTAGCTCTACATTAAAATAATTTAAAAAAAAGGTAAACGTAAAACAACACTCTATTTTTTCAAAAGAAATAAAATCAACAACTACAACCACAAAAAAAAGTTGTTACTAAAATAAAGGGGCGTGGATTTCACTCATGTTAGAAACACCCAATAAATAATTATGGTCAGCAAAGACAAAGAATTTCACTTTTATAAGGTTCAAAAATATAAATCAATTTTTTTCGCCAACGAACAATATAATTACCAATGCATATTCCAAGAACATGTATCCGTAAAATATTGAAGAAAGGAACGAAACATCGTGTCTTGTCGCAGAATGGCTGTGTTCCAGGTGGTGAGTGCGAATAAGAAAAAAAAGGTTAGAAGAAAACCTCAATTGAAAAAAGATGAAAGAAGAAGAAGAAATTAAGAAGAAAGAAATATGTTATCTAGTCATACACGGAAATCAATTCCATATCTTCGTCTGCTACCACTATTACAATTGTTACAATTTTAGCTAGGGTCAACTTACAATTTTAGCTAAGGCCCAATTATAATTACTTATATAATTATATACACGAAGAAAGTTCTCACATTTGGGAATTAGGTTTTTGACTATTCTTTGTGTGCAATAACCCAAAACACAATAGTTCAATGGACCTTCATATTTCATAATTATAGTCCTGTTATTCATTTGGTTTCATGATTGTTACTTTCAAGGGTTAAGTGTTTGTTCTTTTAAAGGACACAAATTGTGTCATTTTAGTTTTTAACCCTATGTTTTACTGGTAAGACATAGTTATAACATGAAAAATAGTTTTTTTACTCTCTCCATGTCAGCTGATGTGACTGAGGAAATAGAAAAAAAAGTAATTTTTCATATTATAATTATGTTTTACATGTAAGATATAGTGTCAAAAACTAAAAGGATACAACCTTGTGTCCTTTAAAAGGACAAAACCTTTTTTTTCTACTTTTAAATGTGTTTATTTGGTTTAATTGGACCCATATTTTGAAATAGGTCAACTAATCATTTTTGTAATTAAGTTTTGAAGTCTTTCTTTTTTAAAATAATAGAAATAAGAATAAATAACATAACTGATTAGAATAAATCAGAAAAAAGTATACAGGATAAAAAATAAAAAAAGGTAAAACACAAAAATAACCATACTATACATGTTCCTTATTATTTGTTTGCATTTAGATGGTTTGTTGTTACTTTGTATTGAGTATTTGATTTTCTATTTAGTGGTGCCAAATTATAATTTTTACCTTAGTTAATTATAATTAATTATATAATAAATAAATAAAAAAACAAGCAGATGCCTTGACACTTGCTAGCTTGGATGTGGCTAGGCAAATGTATACATCCCACCAATCAAAATCAAACACCAAAACACCAATCATAAGGAGTTTTTGGTAGAATTACAGTCTTTTCGATGTCACACATCTCATTTATAGAGTTCCAGAGTACAAGAGGATCTTTCGCAGTGAGATTTTAGCTTTCTTTCCTTCATGAAGTTGATGCCAAATGAAAATGATTGCCTTCGTTGAGTCTTGCAATGTTGCTTGATTTCCTTCCTTTTTTAGTAGTATCCATCCCAAAACCTTTGGCATCTAAAATAAGTATTGTAGAGGTGGATTCTAGCATCTGGCAGTGGCACCTATGATTAGGGGTGATAAACGAGTCAGGGAACTTTGGCTCGGCTCGTGAAGACTTAAGCTTGCCCATCTAAAATTAGTTGTTGGTACCAGGTTTGAACTTGTATAAAAATTCGTTTAATAAAAAGGTTTCAGACTCCAATTTAAAAGCTCAGCCTTATAGCCTCCTAGGCTGGCCTAGTATATTACTTTTTATTTTATATTTTTTATATTACTTGTACTAGCCCTCTATTTCTCCTCAATCCATTTCACTCTACTTTATTGGTTAAATAGACATTTTAAATAATTTTATTCTATATTATGCTGATTTGATATACATTGAATTTATGAATATTTATGGAATTACTAGTGTTGTTGATTGTATGTTATATTTGTTTAAATTTTTGTTGTCTTATTTTTTTTAAATAGGCTAAATCAGACTTTTATTTTTTGTAAATAAGTCAGGCCACATGCCAATAATTATATTTATAACAGGTAACAAACTTGATCAGACTGATATATTTAAACACAGGCTTAACCCTTAAGACCAAAATTCGGCTCGGTAACATCCCTACATATGATAGGTAATTACAGCCTGTGATATCAAGAGCCTCAAAATAAGAATCAAGTTTTGTAATATTGGTCTTACTTTCTTAGCGTGGCAGAGCTTCGTGCTAGTAACATATTATAAAAGATAGTATAAACAACCAAGAGGAAAAGAAATAAAAAGAGAATTGAAATATTAAATATATCTATAACTATAATGGAAGTAATTTTTTGATAGAAGATCAGAAGATGGAATTGAAATTAAAATGGAAAATAAAAAAGGTTGCCTTTTAAGGAATTAAGATTTTCTGCAACTCCTTACCCACTATAAAAAGAAGTAATTAAAACTAAACTAATTCTTAATCAAATATATACTTTCTTATAAATCACAATAAATCAAGATCAAGTAACATACTTTTATAATAGGGCCATATTACTCTTATGCAATAGGATTTTTTTTTTTATCTTATGTACATACATCGATACTTGTGCTAATTATTTTTTATTTTTTTTCTATTGGGCCTCACTTTAAATTGAGTGTGTAGGAGATAACAAAATTTTTATGTGACATGAGACTACAATTACCCTTTATAATATTTTATTAAGGAAAAAGTATTTCTCATACATATATTCTGAAGTTCCAAAATCATATCGTTTTAGGATTTAAGAAAAAGTACACTATATGTTAAAAATAAATTGTTCTTTTTGTATCGTAAATTTTATAAAAATATCTTCTATTATTTTTTCTAAATCTCAAAACAACATTATTTTTAAATTGCAATTACTTTATGTTGAAGGAGAAATACTATTTTTTTTTATTAAAAGCCTGTTTGGATGGTTTTAAAAAAAGATTTTTTATGCCTTACTTATTTTAGAAGTGTTTTTAACAAAAGCTTAAGTTATTTAGATTTTTTAAAAAATATCTTGTTTTTAACAAAAATAATTGACTCTCAACTTCTATTTTTTTTAGAAATTAAAATTTTTTAGCTTTTAAAAAAAGTAAATTTTTGATTTTTTTATGATTTATGCTTTTTTTGAAAAGCAGATATTCAAACAGATTTTTTTCTAATAAATATCTTTTACCAAAAAAAATTGTTTTTTGAGAAAAAAAAATCATCCAAACATACCCTAAAATGTTAATAATATTATTCGATTATTACTTTTGGTTGGATCATGTAGCACCACATCCAAACTTTTGGCGATGGATTGATAAAAAACAAGTGAAATAAAATGAAGGGTTTTATGAGTATAATCAGGATATAAGAAAATTTTTCTACCCTCACAATAAAGAAGAGAGAGAAAATGGAATGATGCAAGAGAAAAAAAATATGTGGACTCCGCCTCTTAATTGTACGTGTAGAAAAATTTTATTTGATTATGTAACATGATACTAATAAAATCCTAAAATGAAATCACGTTATTTGTCATTGTGAAATAAAATGACATTAAATAAAATATTTATAAAATGCACACTATATTATTTCATCTAATATCTTTATAATTTTTTATTATTTCATTCATTTTTTAAATAATGAAATATAAAAAATTCATTTTATTATAAAATATTTAAAGGGATAGGATATTTACACAAAAATAATGTTACGCACAATGTTACGACCACATCTTAATCGTTGATTTCCGCCAATCAACGATTATCATTTTTCAAATTAAACTCATTAATTAATTATTAATTTGCAATAAATGATAACTGTTGATTGGCGAAAATCAACGGTTAAGATGTGATCGTAACATTGTGCGTAACATTATTTGTGTATCACAATATCTTATCCCATCCCAAAAAACTACATAATATTCCATCTTAATTTCACTTCATCCCCATCTATTTCTGCTGCATAAAACCAAAAAAAACAGGTCTCCGTGTGTGTTGGCAGAAAGATAGCAAAAAGGTACATTTGATCCTCCTCACAACACAGCACTCTCAGTCGCTCACTATGTGTCCGTACGCATTGAGTCATACGAATGAGCAAGCGTGTGATGAAAACCAGAAACTCCAGCAGCCACTATTCTATTTCTAAATTTTCTATTTCCAATAAACATCACAAAAATCAACAATCACTGTTACTAGAGTGGTCACTGACTGACTAGTGTGGTGTATCCCTATTCCAGATATTCATTTTTTTTTTCCCATCATCGTTCGTTGATTTCCCTTTGTTCCTTTTTCTGCTACTGCTAGATCTTCCTCCGCCTCAAACCCTTTTCACTTGCACCGCTTCTCTGTGCGTCTCCCATCAAATTTCACTTCTTTTATGAATTTTCTTTCTGCCCCTTTTTATTGCATGCAAGATCACCAACAAATAACTATCTGATTTTTATTTTTATTTTTTTATTTTAGGATTGAAGGGTGCGAGCGATTTTCAACAATGACGGGTTGAGATTTTTTTTTTTTTTTTTTTTTTTTTTTTGAGATTTTGGGGTTAGACTGAGAAGAGAATGGGTAGTCCCGGAGAGAACGGAATCGATGCGACGGTGGGTGGCTTGGTTTGGGTTCGCCGCCGCAATGGGTCGTGGTGGCCTGGCCGGATAATGGGTCTCAATGAATTGTCGGAGAGTTGCTTGGTTTCACCAAGATCGGGTACTCCTGTTAAGCTCTTGGGTCGTGAGGATGCAAGCGTGTGAGTCCTCTATTACTGTTTCCATTTAAAAAAAAAAATTAATTAATTAATTAATTTCATTTACCCTATCTACTGTTTCCACTTTTTTAAGTTTGCATATGATTCCTCTATCACTTGTTGTGTGCATTTCTCTGCCCTTTTTTGCTATTTCCATATTTCAACTTTAGGATTGCTCTTCTTGTATATGTTTGCAAAGTGTTGCTAGCATGGAAGTGGAACTTAGAGATAGAAAGATATATTAACTAGCAGGGCTCTAAACTTATATTTGTTTGTTGTTTGAATTGTGAATGCTTCTTGATTGGTGTTTTCATCTGGTCTGATTTTGGCAAAAATTCGTTCGTGATTTAGGGATTGGTATAATCTTGAGAAATCGAAGCGGGTTAAAGCTTTTCGTTGTGGAGAGTATGATGAATGCATCGAAAAGGCAAAGGCTTCTGCTGCCAATTCAAATAAGAAGGCGGTGAAGTATGCTCGCAGGGAAGATGCTATTCTTCATGCTCTTGAGCTGGAGAGTGCTCGCCTTGGCAAGGAACCATTGAACTTGTGCCCAGGGTTAGATAAATTAGGTAGTGAACATGGTGGATCGGCTGGAGAATCACCAGCTGTGTCTCATTCTGGTGATGGTAATGAGGATGTGACTGATGGTCTGAGTGAATCTGAAGACAATTCTAATTCTGCTCCAGAATTGTCTCAGTCTGGTATATCTTTTGAAGAGCCAAATCAAAATGGTTCTTCCAAGATGCAATCTATGCAGGGAAGGAGAAGAAGAACACCTAATGATTCAGAAGATGATGGAACAGAAGGAGTCAAGCGAATGAGAGGGCTTGAGGACTTGGGCATTGGTGTAGTGTCAAAGAAAAAGGTCCACGGTGCAGGTACACCCGAGATAGTTCAGCAAGATGGTGCTTCACTCAGCAATTCAAACACAAGGAACTGCCTGGCAAATGGAACTTCTATTAATGGTGGTAAGGGCCATTCTTCCACACTGAAACGAAAGAGATCACAAGTGGCAAATCTTCATGAATTGAAAAGGAAAAATCGACGCCGGCCATTGACGAAGGTTTTGGAGAGTACTGCTATGGTGTCAATTCCGGTAATTTGTGATCAGCTTCCTAGTTCAACCAGTTCTCCACTATGTGAGGTGACTGATAGCAAGACTTCAGGATTAGATTCCAATGAGTCAAAGAAAAGTTCTCCACTAGCAATTCATAATTCTGATAGCACTGAGGCTCCTTTTGAGAATGGAAATTTAGTAGATGTTAATGATCATGGTTGTGAAGCTTCTCAAATCAGTCACGCAGTAAAGGAGAATGGGGCTTCTGGCACATCAGGGCTAATTGGGAACCATGCTTCTGATAAATTATTTGATGTGCCATTTGTCAGGGATTCAGGAGATGAGAAACATGCCACAGGTATTTGAATTCTGAACCGTCTTCTGTATTTGTATTGTGCAATTTTTTCATTATCATCATTTGTTGCTTGGAATTTTTTTTGGTGATAAATTGAACCTTTTAGACACGAAAGTTGCAGAAGTTTTATTATTTTATTGAACTGTCTCTGTTGTATTTTATCTCTTATGTTCGGTTTTGCTGTATTTGGTTATTTGTCATTTTAACTATTTTAATTTATTTGCTTACATCTTAATTCATATATGAATTTGGGCACATGGTATTTTAAAAAACATAGATGGAAAGCAAATGTGGGTCCTTGAAGAGTGATGGAACCACCTAGGCTCAAGAGTTCCCTAGAGGTCTCTCAAATTCCCACTAACCAATTCCGAATACCTGAATACCTCACTACACACACTCACTCACCTTTTATTCTACCCACAGAATATTCTAGAATAACTAATTAATTGGCCCACTCACTTTTAGGCCCATCAATACTCCCCCTTCAAAATTCACCTTGTCCGCAAGGTGAAGAAAGAGGTCAAGTAATGTGAAAGAACTTCCACCCGGGTCCCAAATTTTGAAGCTTCTTGACCACGTTACTAGTTGCAATTTCTTACCCATATCCTTTCCAGGAACTGACTTAAGCTTTGGAATAACATTGGCTAACCCAATCAAGATCCGAGTGGCCAACTTAGAGGGACCCAAGTCATCCGCAATTTTCCAAAATGGTAAGCAATCATTAGAGCCAATACTCAGTGAATTTCCCCCAACCAGATATGATCCCCTTCGAATGGAGTTAGGCCCATTATGATTCAAGCCCATCCAATTTCCATTATTCCCTTCTAATATTCCTTGCTGAATCATGGGCTGGATTATTAATGTGGGTTGTGAATAATGACCCTCTCCTTTTGAATTAGGCCCATTTGTTCCTCGGCCCACAATCCCAATCACCCAATCCAACCCTGTGTCCGTCTCTGTCCCTGCTACCTCTTGCATCATCGACCGGTGCTCTTCCACGCTCGTCATCGCTACCTCTTGCATCACTGACCGGTGCTCTTCCACGCTCGTCATCAACAAAACGTGAGACCTATCTTGGTCTTCTTCCCAAATCTGCACCGCTTTTGCATCGTTCCCTTCCGATTGTTGTTTTGCGTTTTCTGCTTGGACGTCGTCTTCTCCGGTTTTCTGATCTGCGTTCCCTTTTTTTTCGAATTCGGTTTTCTGATCTGCGTTCCCTTCTTCTTTTTCCCCTTCTTTCTCTTTGATTTCTGTTTCTTCTTCTTCTGATTTGTCCTTGCTGTCTTCTTTGGACTCTTTCTCTCCTTCTTCGTCAAACGCCATCTTCTTCTTCTGCAGTCTTTGATCTTCCTCATCTTCTCCTTCTTCTTTTGCCTTTTCCTTTTCCTTTTCTGCAACGTCCTTGTCGTCCATTTTTTCTTTGATGTTTCGATCTACTATGCTTCCATCTTCTTCTGCATTTTTAAAGCGTTGCGACTTCATCTTTTCATTTTTCAATCTTCATGTTCTCAACCACTCAATTGTTCCATCCAACATCTTCATCATTTTTTCTAAATCTTCCCTACGCTAACTGATTCCAACCATTTTTTTTTTTTTTTTTTTTTTCTTTCTTCTTTTTTTTTTTTTTTGAAATCTGGACCAGAAGCACCCCTAGATCGGACGTGCTCTGATATCAAATTGATGGAACCAGAAAAATAACATTGAAATTATAGAGATAATGGAGGTCATGCCTCTTTTACATACACTAATATGCAGAAAATAAACCCCAAGAAAGCCTCAACTCCCCCTCAAACCAAACACCTAGGCTCAAGAGTTCCCTAGAGGTCTCTCAAATTCCCTTCTAACCAATTCTGAATACCTCACTAACACACACACTCACCTTTTATTCTACCCACAGAATATTCTAGAATAACTAATTAATTGGCCCACTCACTTTTAGGCCCATCAAAGAGGCATGGTGATCATACATTAACAACCGAAATGAGCTAAATTGAAGCATGGTTTTTTTATTGTTCTCTTTATAAGGAAGAGCTTGAGATGATTGACTTGAGCAAGCTTCCTTAATGGGACTAACTTTCTTAAGCAGCAAAATAACTTTTCCCCAGTTAATGTTTGCTACTTCTTTAATTTGGCTTTCATGGTTATTTCTTTCTCGTGTCAGCAATGTTATGCAATGCATAGTTTAAAGTTGCTTTTTTGATAGGTAGATGTGGAATAAGTATAAATTGGTCAATTGAGAATTGAATGTGTTCTGTTCGTGAGGTATGCATACTAATTTTATTTGCCCTTCATCTATTCCTAATTGTTTTTCTTTCCTGTACAAAACCCTCTTCCCATTTTTGAAGCAGTAGAATGTAGTTGAATGATATTTCTTCTGTGTTTCTGCTTTAGTTTAGCCATACCACTTCTGTGGCTCTGCTGTAATCCCGATGTAATTCCTTCTCCCAGGTTGCTCGCCTGTACTTGTTTCTTGTTCACCTGGAAAAACTCAAATTGGTGTATTGGGACAACAATCCTGTCATGTTAGTCAATCTGAAGCTCTCTCTTTGAGCAATGAGGATCAAAATACTGGTTGTACAAGTTCAGCTGCGGTTTATAATATTATTGGCCATAGAACGGAGAAAGGTAGTTCAAAGTGGCAGTTAAAAGGAAAAAGGAATTCAAGACATATAAATAAAAATAGAAAAGAAGTCTTGAGAAAACATGTGGAGATGGATGATGAATGCAGTGCTCATTTGACAGGTGCCCCCAATGTTTCATACAATTGTACCTCTCTTGCTAGGTGCAAACCAGTTGCTGAAGGCCAACTAGATGGGTTTCGGGATTTGATCAAGCATGTTAGGGGGACAACAGAGGTGAAGCTATTACCTGATGGATCTCTCACCCCACAGAGATCACTTCCTTTTCGCCAGTCTCGTTTTACCGTTAACTCCAGATATCAAATGGTAGATTTTCCTGGAAGAAATTATTGTTCTGATGCTTCGTTATATGATGTTAAGCTAGAAGTTAAATCCAGTTACCGGCCGCAGCATGTCCCTTTGGTTTCTCTTGTGAGTAAATTAAATGGCAAATCCTTTATTGGACACCCTCTAACAGTTGAGGTTTTGGATGATGGTCATTGTGACAGTGTGTTGAGTGGAGTTGAATGCAACTTGGAAGGTGGTGACACTTACTGTGTGGTCAAGCCAAACTCGGTAACCAGAAGAATACCTTCCAATAATTTTTCGCGATTTTCACCTAATAAATCTTTGAAAATGAAAAAATCTGGTCTCTTAAATAAAAAGATTCGGAAATTATCATCACTGACTGGGCACAAGCAATCAGAAGAGGAGAGAAAACCAGTGGTAGATAAGCTCAAGGGTCCTGTCATAGCTTGTATTCCCCTTAAAGTAGTATTCAGTAGGATAAATGAAGCAGTAAGCGGTCAGGCGCGGCCATCACACAGCCCATTACCAACATCAAACCCTTGAGTTACAGAGAATGGGTTGTGTGGAGAACTGTTTCTTTGGTAACTTGAGAGATTTTTAGTTTTGCAGATAATGAATCTGCATTTTATTTATATGCGCATGATTTGAATCATAATCATATGAGGCTTCTCTTGGCTCTGTAAATAATGTAACATTATCTGAGTTGTAAAGATGATCTAGTATTAGGTATTGGTGACCTGATATTAGGTCCTCAAAATGTCATCTCATGAAGTTAGGTTCTCAGAAAGTCATGATATTACGTTCTCAAAAACTCTTCTTCATAACTGGAAAAAGAATTTGAAATTGAGTATATTTGGATCTGTGCCATTTCAGTATTTATATAATTTGCCTTTGCATGGAGCATTGTCAATATTCAAATGTGTTGATACGTATGAAGATAGATGATCAAGATTCAAGAGCATTTACTTGATTTTGTTCTGTATATTTATTCTTTTTACTGGATTTTATTATTTTATTCTCATAAGTATTTAATTTCCTTCATTTAGCTGTTATATATGATTATGATGATCATTTGATGAGCAGTTCATCAATTAAATTATGGAAGTTATAGGGAATCGTGGCCTCTCGAAGTTATGGTTTCATTGTTTTCTTTCCTCAATTAAATGAATCAGGTTGGAAAGTGATTAAGAGCTAATAAAACAAGGTGGGAAGAAAGAGGGTACTTTGATCAAAATACAAGAGATTCAATGATTCATTATCAAATAATCTTAGTATGTATAACAAAAACTAAAAACTAAAATAAAAAATCCCAGTATATTAATTTTTTTCATAAAACACGAGATTCATTATTCATTTACCTTTGAAAACAAAAATTGTGTGAAGACCGAACAACTCAAATATTCGTTATAGATAAATAAAACGTTTACTCTTCACCTACCAATAAAAAAAAATGCTTACATGTTTACCAAAAATAAAATAAAAAATGCTTACAATCAACTTTTTTTTCCTATCACATTTCTCAAAATTATTTTAATTAATAAATATAAACTAATGTATTTTTATCTTTTACAAATTATTAGAACTTTATCAGGAGGATTTAAACTACTTTTCCTTTCATTGTTTCATTCTTAAAATATAAAAAGGGAAAAGTGTTTGTCATTTTAAATGACAGAAAGTTATGTCATTTTAAAAGAGATACGGACACAGAAAATTTGAATTTTAAATTAAAAAAAACCACCCATTTTCTTTCTCCCATGATTTCCCTTTTTTTGTGTCTCTCTCCTAAAATGACATAACTTATTTCATTTAAAATGACAAACAACAAACCCATATAAAAAATAAAGGTTAAGAACAAGATTAATTATTTTGTATCCAAGTTTTTGTTTTCGGTGTCCATCTAACAGCTTAATGGGCTTTACATGATTCTAGCCCAGTAGTAATACACCTATTCGGACCGGGTCTACTTCGAAGCATTGAATTAGGGTTTCCCATTTTAATTTCTATAAATTCTGACAGAAAGGAAATTCTCAGTCTCTCACTCTCTCCACAACAAGTGAAGGCCAAACAAAAAGGTTCTCTACATCGTTTCGTTTGGTTATTGTTGTTGTTAGGCTTAGGGTTATCTTTAATTTCATCGTTGGTCTCAATTTGGATCTGGTTCGGTGCGTTTTCAGGTGAGGGTGGAAGTAGAAGAAAGAGATGGCCGCAGTACCAGGACAGCTCATTTGGGAGATCGTGAAGAAGAACAACTCTTTCTTGGTGAAAGAGTTCGGTAATGGTACTCAGAGCGTGCAGTTCAGCAGAGAGGCCAACAATCTCTACAATCTAAACTCTTTCAAGTACTCTGGTATATACTATGCTTTATTACATTATTACATTATTACATTTGTAATTATGTGGATTGTATTTGGATCCCCTTTCTGAGAAGAATTTTGTAAATGCAAATGTTTGATGAGAAATGGGTACTGAAAAAAAAATCATCTTTTTAGTGAAATCTATTTTTTGCTTGACAACACCATTCTTTTATGTGATGTTATTTTTTAAACTTGAGAGTTGATGTAGAATTTTGAAATTTTGGTATTGTGTTAACCTATTTACGGTCCTTGCGTTTCAATTGTTTGTGAGTAAAGCTCTCTTTATGTTTATGGTGGTATGATAGGTTTGGCAAACAAGAAAACTGTTACTATTCAGCCTGCGGGTAAAGACCAGTCTGTTTTGCTGGCAACAACCAAAACAAAGAAACAAAACAAGCCTGTTGCTTTGCTTCACAAATCTGTCATGAAGAAGGAGTTTCGGAGGATGGCAAAGGCCGTGCAAAATCAGGTAGTTCGACAGAGAAAAAGTCAAATAATCTATGTTTTATGGGGAGAGTTTCCTGATTTATGTTAATGATGTGGAATAAATGGTGTAATAATTCCAGAAAGCTGATTCTGTTCCTATATGACAATATATGTTTTGTTTGTTTGCTGCATTTATACTTTCTGTTGACCCCAGCTGCGAAATATCCATTTTGAGTTTGGCTTCAGCTTCCTGAAAAAATGTTGAAAGTTGTTCTCTGCTTTTTATATATTTTACAATAATGTGCGCTGGGTTAGCTACCTTTTTTTTCTATTAACTGCCCCCTGGTGGATTTTTTGGGGTTTGTCTTTATGTATGAGAAAATTGTTTTTCCATCTTGGTTTGCAAAATATTTTTCTGCTGAAAAAGATTAGATTCCCTTGCAAAGTAGGGGGGAGCCTTGTGCAATGAGGTCTGTCCTATTTTTATTATTCAGTGTTAGACTACCATTTGTTTAAATCTTGCCTATATAGTTTTTGGTATTGTTGTAACTTTGTTTTGGGTTGACTCTGCTAACTTAATCTCGCCAAGGCCTTTCTCAACATTTTAAGGGAAGTGAGTCTGTGAGACATACTTTTGTACATTTCCTCGTATGTTTTTATTTAAATGAGTGATTTGTATTGTTTAGAAAAATGACTGTTGGAAAAGTGAATCTTTTAATCAAGTTTTAAGTTGAAACTGTCAATACCTTTGCCAACATGACCGAGTTTTCCCCAGCAGTGATGAGCCTCTAACATGTAAGAAGGATCCCTAATTGGGTTTCTTCAATGAAATTTACTTGTTACGCTTGGCTTCTGAGCTTTTATCTTTCAGAAGTTCTTTCATGAATGTATTCTTTTGTTCTCCTTTGTCAGTTAACGATATGCAAATTATTTCAGAATAATTATATATGGTTCTGGTCTAAATTTCATACGGATCAGTACCTTATCAATCTGCATCTATTTGTGTGCCTACAATAAATGTTCTGATGAACTCCCATGCTGTGGGCTTTTGCTTGCATGCAACTTTTTTCAGGTTTCATTTAATGAATTGTTTTTAATAGATTTTCTACTCGTGATATGCGCTGCAGGTGGCAGATAACTACTACAGGCCTGATCTCAAGAAAGCAGCTCTTGCAAGGTTGAGTGCTGTCAATAGGAGCCTCAAAATTGCGAAGTCTGGTGTGAAGAAGAGAAACAGACAGGCTGTGAGGGTCCGTGGTAGGAAGTGAATTGAGAAAATTTAAGCTGCATTTTGGTGGCTGATAACTATATTTCTATTAATCTTTTTTTTTTCCCCTTTATAGTTTTTGTGTGTTCTAGAACTCGATTATAGATTTTCGGAATTGTGTTTATTAGCAATTATTGTGTTTTCAATATGAAATTGAACTACCATGCTATAGCTTTCACTGCGTTGATTTCTTCACGGCTTTATACCAATAATTTTAGGATGTTTATATCACATGTCAACTGACAAAGAAGGCAGAATCTCTGAAGCTGCAGCACCAATCAAAGTAGGATTTTGATGTGCTACATTTGTAAATCTTTTTCATATGGATAGCTTTATTTTTTGTGCTCTTAATTCTGTTTAACTGGTTGCCCTTGAACGGTACAATGCTGAGTTAGTTGGTAGGGGTAAAAGTGAATTGGGTTAGGCTGAGTTTTGTTCTGAAAAGCCGAACCTTATGCTAAAAAAATGTAATTTGACCTGAGCTGCTCTGATAGTATAGTATGAGTCTAATTATTAGTTTGGTCTAACCCATTTATAAAAAACAAATGGCTTAGTTTGCTCTATTAATCTGTTAATTTTTAACTTCAAAAAATACTTAAATTTTGTTTTTAAAGATAAAACACGATTTCAACCAACAAATGAATAACGATGCTTGCACTAGTCAAAAAATTCTCATCATTTTCTTGCAAATACAATTTCAAAACTTCTCATCATTTTCTTGGAAATACAATTCCAAAGTTAATAAGTTGGCAAACAATTTAAAAATATAGAAAACAAAAAACAAGATTAAAGAATAATATATATATATATATATATATATATATATATATATATATATATATATATACTTTTTGTGTTTTTTTTAAGCCATACTTATTACATAGTTTGGATAGTATCTTTAGTCATGCTAGAACGATAAACATCAATAACTATTCTTTCAGGACTAAATGTTGATATATAGAGATTGCTGTAAATTTTATATCATTCTCTAAGGTAGTATTGGTTTATGGTGGTAGTTCAGTTGGTGCATGTGAGTTGAGTAAGTTTATTTTATTTTATTTAAAATAATTAATATGATATAAGCTATGTGTAGGTTTATAGGCTCAACATGTAAAAAAGAAAAGAAAAGCATATGGTCTGTTTTCTAAATAAGTTTTTTTTTTTTTTAAGTCTAAATCTATTCTATTTTACTGTATGTAATAGGCTGAGCCTAATATAGGCTAAACTGTAGACTTTTGTAAACTGGTCCGTCGCACTTTCACCCCTGTTCGTTGGTACTCCTCGAAGATTAATTTTCATCTTGTCAGCATCAGAGTCTTGAACATCTGTTCAACATCATTGAAACTTTGCCCTTTGTTTCTTGAAATGGATCTTCATATCATTTGCCAGATCCTGCCAAAGACGCAAAAAGAAAAGTTGGAATTGCAATTAAAAGTCGTTTTTTATGAATTGGGATCTAAGTGATAGAAAAACAATTACCTTCAAGGTACCTTTGTTGTTTAATAATAGGGTTTTATTAATCTCATGTAATAAAAGAGAAATTATTTCATGTTATAGAGACAATCATATAACCCACTTATAAAAAAAGAAAAAAAAGTAACACGGAAATCAATGTATGTGTAGGAAAGAAAAATACTCTCCTGCAACATAAGAGTATATTTTCCCTTAATAATAACTGTCTATTGGCGTTCGAATTTCTTTTGTTTTCAATAAAGGGCATTTTAATGTTGTAATATTCAAGTTTGGTAATTTTGTGTTTCAGCCATCTTGTGCAATTGATGTATTCAAGTACATTGTTAACGTTTTTTGAATATTTTCTTTGGAAAAATTACGTTAAATTCAAGTGTATTTATTAATTACTTGATTTTAATTGTGGTTTTAATGTCGGAAGGTTGTATCTGATACGTACAAATACAACGGTATAACACAAATACTAGTGGTTGAGAAAAACCTTGTGTTATTATATTAATGTGAAGTATATTATCATATGTCGGGATAAGAAAGAGGCGAGTGTCTTTCTTTTTTACACTACAAAATTTTGTAATTTGAGAAAGTGCGAGATAAAAAAAATTAGATCCTTATATTGTCTCTTAAATTATTATTTTTTAACAATATTTATCCTATTTAAACAATTAAATAGATATGAATCTTCGTGCGCAGCTCCATTGGGCTCTACTATCAATTGATACGAATTTTGGAAAAACCTCACCCCAAATAATACCAATTGATATGAATCTTGAAAAAATTTCACCCCAAAAGTTAGTTCATATAAACCTCACACCATAATCTTATTTTTTCGACGTGGGACTCGAAGTCTCATATCTTAAAGTAAAATCATAACATAAACTCAATACAATTTCTTTAAGTGTATTGTCTCTTATTTTCTCAGAGAAATAAATCCCCCCCAAATTTTTCCCTGGGCAGGTGTTTTGGCCGGCCCCACCTCAGTCCCAGTCCATAGGGCCTATATCCAAGCCCATATATAGAACTTTTTAAAGGGTATCACATAGGATTCTGCTCCTGTACAGAGACAGAGAGTTCAACATGCCTAGCCTTTTCAGGCTAGGCTGATTATAGGTGAGAGCTCTCCAGATCTTGTCTCATGTTTCACATTGAGATTCCCTCTTTAAATACTCTACTCACACCTGTAAGGGGCATCATCTTCTTCTTTATGCAACTTTCATGCTGTTACTCTGCTACAATAGAGAGTCACCTTTGCCATCTTCACAAACACCCCTTAGGTACAACACCATGAGAAACTTCATTAGGGCCTTGGTCTTTACCATTATTATTATGAACACACCCCTATATCAACATACTATACCCTTCAAAGGTACAACTATGAACCTCCATCAGTAGGTGTTGTAATTTTGGGAATACTTTTCACAAACAATAGAAGACAGAACAGTCCAAGAAAGAATAAAGAAAGCATAAAGAGACAGAACACCAGTATTTATAGGTTCAGAAACTCAGTGTTAGTGAGTTTCCTACGTTCTAGGGCCTAAAGAGGGTTAAACGCCCTCTGATATCACACTTTATTCAGAAGATCAAAATCACAAGTATAGAGTTATGGCATACAGATACATCAATATGAAATTAAACATGTGGAGAAACTATTAAAGCAACAAATCAACAAGAACCAGAAAGAACATAAACTCAGAGCTCAAGAAATGGAGCAGATATCACCAATCTTCACAAGACCGTATAGGAAACGTTGTTCCTATCACTGGACCTCTAAGCTAACCACCACAAGCTTCACCGGTCCTCCTTGCAGATTCGTCACTCCACCGTTTGAACACCAACCGAGAATATTCACCGATCAAAAGAATCACCTTGTTGAGATGAACAAGGTTCTCCACAGTAGCTAACAGAGATATTCACTCTAGAAGTCAGATTTTACCAAAATCTCTCCCTCTCACAAACCCTAATCGAAGGAACCTTCAAGAAGATATCAGAGAAGAAAATAGCAAAATATCTTGTATCTGAAAGAAATGCCACACACACACACACCAGCTTGGTCACCAAAGGTTATTAAACCTTCACCTTGATAAAACGACACCGTTTCAATTAGTTGCTTAACACACAATGGTAACAGCAGCTGATGTAGCAAGTAACGGGCTAAGAAACAAAGGGGCCTTAGACAAATAATAATAGACATCAGCCCATTAAGAGAAAGAGGATAATAAAAGCCCAATGTTTAATAGAAATACATACAACAAAACTCCACCTATTTTTCTAAACATATAACAGAACAAGTATAAAGATACCAGATTTGGAATAGGCATTTAACCCATAGGCCCATATGCAATGCATGATCATGGAGATTCAATTTTTAGCAAACCTAAAGCATCTCTAAATTTGCCAACAGGTACAGATTTTGTAAAAATATCAGCAGGGTTAATAATGCCAGAAATTTTATCAACAATTACTTGTTCACTAGCTATTATCTCCCTAATGAAATGAAGCCTAACATCTATATGTTTTGTTCTTTCATGAAATGCAGAATTTTTTGAAAGATGAATAGCACTTTGTGAGTCACAATTTACCTTTGGTGGGTTCTTACCTAAACCTAACTCACCTACTATACCTTTTAACCATATGGCTTCCTTGACAGCTTCAGTCAATGCCACATATTCAGCTTCTGTTGTTGATAATGCCACTATGTGCTGGAGATTGCATTTCCAGCTCACCACATTACCTCACATAGTAAACACAAAACCAGTTAGTGATCTGCGTTTATCAAGGTCAGCAGCATAACCAGAGTCACAATATCCAACAATATTAAAATCATTAGAATCAAATGCAGAAAAATTTAAATAATAGTTAATAGAACCATTCAAGTATCTAAGTAACCATTTAACTGCACTCCAGTGCTCTTTGCAAGGTTTACTCATAAACCTGCTTATCATGTTGACTCCATATGCTATGTCTGGCCTTGTGCCAATCATAGCATACATTAAACAACCAACAACATTAGAATAAGGAACAAATGACATATATTGTGTCTCTTCAGGAGATAGATCTCCAGAGACAACTTTGAGCCTAAAATGAGCACCTAATGGAGTGCTAACAGGTTTAGACTCATGCATCTCAAAGATTCTTAGAACCTTCTTCACTTACTCAGACTGGGATAAAGATAAATGTCTATCTTCCCTTGTCCTTGTAATTTCCATGCCAAGAATCCACTTGGCTGGTCCAAGAAATTTCATTTCAAATTCCTTTTTCAGCATATTCTTAACATAATTTATTTCACTTAAGTTTTTAGATGCAATCAACATATCATCCACATATATCAACAGATAAATGTAACAGTCATCATGCAAATTTTTAAAATAAACACAATGATCAAAATTGCTTCTAACAAAACCTTTTGATAAAACAAAATCATCAAAACGTTTATACCATTGTCTGGGGGCCTGTTTGAGACCATATAATGATCTCTTCAGCAGGCACACCATGTTTTCTGCCCCCCTCTTTACAAAGCCTTCAGGCTGTTCCATATAGATTTGCTCATCAGTATTGCCATGGAGGAAGGCAGTCTTGACATCAAGCTGCTCCAGCTCTAGATCATAGATAGCAACAGCAGACAGTATCAATCTTATTGATACATGCTTGACCACAGGTGAGAAAATCTCATTGTAGTCAATTCCTTCAACCTGGGAGTAACCTTTAG